TACAATTGATTTTTAACGCATGATTGTTTTACCGTACGGTTGTTTTTAACCGAATTATTGTTTTACCGTACCCTTGTTTTATACCGCATGATTGTTTTACCGTACAGTTGTTTTTTACCGAATTATAGATTTACTATACCCTTGTTTTATACCGCATGATTGTTTTACCTTAAGGTTGTTTTATACTGCATAGTTGTACTGAACGGATATTTCTAACAGTGATGTACACTTGTTTTTTTACTGCATGGTTGTTTTGCTGTACGGTTGTTTTAAACTGCATGGTTGTACTGAACGGACGTTTCTAACAGTGATGTACACTTGTTTTTTTACTGCATGGTTGTTTAACTGTACGGTTGTTTATACAGTATGGTTGTTTCACACTAAGGTTGTTTTTTCTTTATGCATGGTTGTTTTACCGTACGGTTGTTTTTAAATGAATTGTACAAAAAAAAAAAAAAGCATGTTTTTTTTTACCGTACGGTTGTTTTTAACAGTATTGTAACTTTTTTAACGCATGGTTGTTTTACCGTATGGTTGTTTTATACTGCATGGTTGTACCGAACGGATGTTTCTAACACTAGTATTTTTTTGTTTGTTTTTTACTGCATGGCTGTTTTACCATACGGTTGTTTTTAACAGTATTGTAACAGTAGTTTAAATCCACAAGGTTATTTTACCATATGGTTGTTTTTAACAGTATTGTACAGTTGTTTTTTTACTGCATGGTTGTTTTACCGTACGGTTGTTTTAAACTGCATGGTTGTACTGAACGTGTGTTTCTAACAGTGATGTACACTTGTTTTTTTACTGCATGGTTGTTTAACTGTACGGTTGTTTATACGGTATGGTTGTTTCAACCTAAGGTTGTTTTTTTCTTTATGCATGGTTGTTTTACCGTACGGTTGTTTTTAAATTAATTGTACAAAAAAAAAATGCATGTTTTTTTTCACCGTACGGTTGTTTTTACCTCATGGTTGTTTTGCCGTTCTGGGCTTTTTAACGGAATTGTACAGTTGTTTCTTTTAATGCACGTTTGTTTTGCCGTATGGTTGTTTTTAACAGTACTGTACAATTGATTTTTAACGCATGATTGTTTTACCGTACGGTTGTTTTTAACAGCATTGTACAGTTATTTTTTACCAAATTATTGTTTTACCAGCTTTTAAAGCTGTTGCACAGACCAAAACGCTAATGTTCCACCTGCTAATCCTGGGGTTTCTATAAACTGAGAAAAGCTT